AAAAAATACACGCAAACTTGGACTGATTTTATAAATATTTTATTAATCATATTAACTGAGTAAAAGAAACGGAATAAGAAAAATTATTGACAAACTGAAATGAAAGAAAAATACATAAAAATATATTTTTCCTTATGACCTCCTTATATTTTTTTTAATTAACGTGAAATTGAGAATTTACATTTTACATGCAGTTTATTTTTTTATTTTTTCTTTGAAAAAAGGAAAGAAAGAGAAACAAATATACATTGGCGAAATTTATAACAATTTTGTGAACAAGAAAAAAGTGATTGGAGTTTTACTCAACATTTAAAAGGCATTAACGGTATTAAATAATTAAAAACTAACTAAAAAATAAATTTAAAAATCAATGCACATTTTTGCTGGCAAAAAAGTTTCAATCACAACCACACAAAGTTAGATACAACCACACACACACACACACAAACACCAAAAGACTTCAATATTAATTAAAAACTTAAACATTTAATTCAAAATTTATAAATAATTGTAAATTATATAGCAATTTTATTTTTAAATAATAACATTTGGCATAATCAAAATTTGTTTTTAAACAAACAAAAAAAAAACTACAACAACAAAAGTGCAAGGAATATTTTTGGCAATTTTTTTTATTTGAAATTTTTGTTATGCAATTTATATTTGAATGCTTTCCTTTTTCTTTTTGTTTTGCTTTTACTTTTTAAAAAATGAAAAATGGGAAAAAGAAAAATGAATTGTTGGCCTTATTTTAACTTAAATCAAATTTATTATAATTTTAGTAGCATTTGTAAAATACGAGAAACAAAAACAAAATATGTAAAACTAAAAAAAAAATCATTTTTTTTATTGTGTATGAAAAAGGCAGAGAAATGTTTGAAATGTGCAATTTTTAATTTTTACTATTATTATTATTATTATCATTATTCTAACTATATAATTATATACATATACATAGTTTTCACACATATACACACACACACACACACACATTTTGAATATATTGGAAAGTAGCAAATCGGAAGTATAATAATAAAAACTATAAATAATTCCAAATTGAATGCTTTAAATAATTCAATTCAATTTGAATACTTGTAAACAGCACTTGAAGAATAAAACAAAAACAGTGAATAATTTAATTAAATAATATAAATAATACCAACCTATTAGTGGAAGAATTAACCGAAATATTAAAATACAAAACAAAACAAATAACTCATTCTTAAGTTTCATTATATAATTATTATAATATAAATTTGATTTAAATCATAAGTTTTTTATAGATTGCCTATCGCGCGTTCAATTTTTATTCACATAATTTGTTTTGTAGTTTTACTCTAATGTAAAAAACAACAGAAAGTCTACAATAATATATATATATCATTATTTTTACAATTTTACGTAAATACAAAAATGGAACATGCAACAACAACAAAACAAAAATATACACACAATATATATGAAAATATGTTGAACAAAAAAATCAAGCATAAGCAAAATTGTGTTTTTATTTAATTTAATTTTTTTTTCAATATTTGCTTTTATCGATTTACTGAACGTTAAGAAATGTATTAATCATGCGATGTGTTTTCATTTTATATTTTGTTCTTTTATGTTACTTTAATATTTGAAGACAGGTATGTACTCGTAAGGTAGTTCGATAAATCGATCAATTGAATGAAACATGAAAAATGTAGAAGATCAGTTTTTCTTAGCTTACATTTGAGTTTGACAAATATTCGACAAACGCTTAGACTCGAAGAGCAGGGTAAGGCACGACGACTCTTTGCGATAAGTTTCGATAATTAGATATCGATAGATGACGTGCAGAATTTGAATGCAATTCGCTAAAATGCGAAGCAAACGGCTGTGAAGTTAGCTTTTACCGAGTGTGGCTATTCAGAAATTGGAAAAGCAAACTAAGAAACAAATTTTTTTGGAGTATAAAAGAGAATGAACCGAAAGAGGAAAGGGAAATGAGAGAAGGTAAAAGAGGGAGAAAGCAAAGAGTATTGCGAAACACCTTGGGTTGACAAATAAAAATTGATTTTGTTTGATATTTAATTGTAGTCCAAGTTTTAGTTTCACAAATTGGAAAACTGACACAATGAAGACAGACATGATTTTAAAATGGGTGAAACTTAAGAGTAAAGCCCAATAAAGCTAAAATTAATGTAAAAGAAAAATAAGACACGCTATTAAATAGCTTTAGACGATAAAAAAAATGGCTATAAACTCTTTCAATTAAATAAAACAACTCTAATTTCTAAATGAAAAATAATTATAATAAAAATTACATAAACAGGCTGATGTCATGTCAAGTGTATAAGTTAAGGAATCCAACCTAATCGTAATATTTAATTTAATATTATAATAATAAACTCCTCGCGCCCTCGCTATAAAACATTTCCTTCAACTTTTATAATACCATATATAATATCTGCAAATAACAAAGATTTACCCTATCACTACCTAAGCCTAAGAGAAACTGTAAATATGTATGTACGTAACTCTTGCTCTATATAAAATAAGAAGACATTACGACAAGCAAATACAAATGCGAAACATACAAAAGAAAGCAACCTGACAAAATTATAAAGATAAACAAAACAAAAGCTGCATATAAAGTAAATAACTTGTTGAGATATCCATTCATATAATAATAAAAACAAAAAGAAACGAAGAATAAATAAAAGAACAAAGAGTACGTGGACAAATCGTTATGTAGATTTTTGTGAATTCAAGAAAAGCGACAAATACAAAAACTTTATTTAATTTTTATGCACTGTTTTCTGTTACGTGTAACTGTAACTTGTTTTGCCCTGTAACTGTAACTAAATATGGTACTTAATCCTTAGAAGATATGTGTACGATCCGTAAAAGTTTAAAGTCTGTGAAAAAGAGGAAGAAATTGAATCCCATATTAAGAAAAACATAAAACAAAAACCAAAATATGATAAAAGAGAAAGAAAAAGCAAAATTGAAAGATGAAAGTTTTGTGTTCAACTTGTAGATATTGATCCTGAATTGAAAACTACCTCAAACGAAACATTCAAATGACAAACACGATAAAAAGGTTTTTCGAGCATTAATAATAAACGTAACTACAAGCGAGACCTTAGCATCAGCGCTAACCACAAATATACATTACAAAATACAAAACAGAAATAATATGATCTTTGTGTTTCGCTGAATTTCTAAAAAAAAAAAAACAATGAAAAAAGAATAAAACGAAATCTAAGCTCTCTGTTTAAAAATATGATACAAGAAATGCCTTCTTATAGGTACCTGTTTCTTTTTTGTTTGTTCTTTGCAGCACTCGATCATAATTGTCATAAATGAAAAACACTAAACACTCAACCCCCATTTACTTAATTTTAAATATATTACTTACATATGTAAAGTATTAAATGCTTAACCCAATCACAAAAAGAGAAATTTAAAACTTTTTAGTTTCGTTTCTTCACTGCCAACATTGAAAAGGGAATAAATAAAAAGTAAAGTGAAATTTAATTAAATTACACTACCATGAATGTTAGTAGCCCCAGTACTGAGTGCTGAATCCTGACCTTTGGAAAGCTTAGACCCTTCTGCTCCCCTTCCATACTAGTGAATAGTCCATATTGAGGCACCATAAAGAAAATTTTGAAACATTCATGGGGAAGAGAAGAGATATTGGCAAGCTCTTGAGACTGGCGGAGACTATTCTGATATCAGTTTCAGATTCAGCACATCAAATCCCTGCTGACCTGTGCTAATGAATGAAGCAGGCATTTATAGAAAAACTGTCAATATTTGAAATTCGATTTGCAATGTGCAGCAATCAGTAATATACTACTATTACCCAATTATCTACAATATATAGAATAACAATACAAATTACTTAATACAGTTACACTGAAATTACGATCTATGCTAAAAATAACGCACATTAGCTGAAAGAAGAAGAAACAATATATACTTTTTGAATGATGAAAAAACCGGATAAAAAAGGAACTGAAAACTGAATTGGTGGCATTTTAGAGATACAAAAGAAAAAGAAAATGAATCATTACAGATTTAAAAAAAAAAAAACACAGATATACACATAATTTAAATGAAAGGCAGATGAATAATAGACAAACAATACGTAAAAAAAATTTTTAACTTTTACGAATTCCAAAGAGTATCTATGTTTCCCATATATAATAATTTAGCTTTATTTAGTTTTAAGCGCTACACTGCCAAACAAAAAAAAAAAAAAAAAAAAAAAAAAAAGAAAGCTTTTATTTATTTTATTTATA